TTTAATTTTATGCTTCTGCAAGAAATCCATGCCGAGTATTCCTGCGTAGTCGATAGGGAAGTCGTCCTTCACGACGTGCACGGTGTGTCGTACTTTTTTGTCTCCTATCAATATTGTTGCCTTTATTTTTCCAATAGTTTTGATTCTATGACCTGTCACTCCAGTGAGGGCCATTTGCTTCTCTGTTATGATAGTTGCGTCCTTCAAGTTTCCCACTTTAATTAGCGTTAGTGTAGCGCCGGTGTCAAATAAAAGATTTATACGCCCCTTTTCCATTTCCCTTATAGGTAGCGTTATTAGTCTAAGACCGCTATTCGCATTATATCCGGTTACTTGTGCAATTTTATGATCTATTGCCGGTCGCTTTCTTCGCGCCTTCGCTCCTTCTTCTTCGCTGCTATCAGATGATTCTTCCTCGCTGTCGCTATCTCTCTTGCTCTTCCTTTGATTTCTCACCTTTACGGCAGAGTTTACTCGCTTTGTTTTGCTATCCGTTTCGCGTTTCGCGCGTGGTCGTGTATTTCTATCTGGTCGCCCGTTGAGTATCCAACACTCTTCGCGATTATGTCCCGCCTTTTTGCAATATGTGCAAAATTTCTCGACGGTATTAATTCCTGCTGGCTTTTCAGCACGAGGCAAGGAAAATTTATTCGCGTAGCGGCTTGTCCGACAATTTTGACCGATGTGGCCCATTTTTCCGCATTTACCGCATTGGGGTGCGGGATTTCGCAAATTTCGCGTGGAGTAAGAGGGTGAATCCGTCTTCTTATCCCGTTGATACGCACGGTGTCGGTCGTTTAGACCTTTTATTTTTTCCTCGGAACTCGCTCCGGCTATGGCTTCTTGTAACGTTCGGAAATGTTGAGAGCGCACCAATGTATTTATTTCTTCGCGCAATCCGATTTGATAGTTTAAGAGGGCCTGATCTTTGATATTTTCTAATATGGCTCGTTGTTGATCGGGAGTATGGTGTTTTCCTTCTTCCATAGAATCGTATAGGTCCATGGCTAGATTATCTACTCTGCGACCGAAATCTTGCGCGGTTTCCGACGGCTTTTGTTTCAGTGCATTGAATTCGAGCTGTAGATGCGCGGTACTTCTTCGGCTTAAATATTCCGTTTCCAGCTCGTCCCTCAGTTGTTCGTAACTGATAATTTCCCTATTTTTGAAAGCTTTCATCGCCTTTCCTTTGAACTTTGTGTGTAATACGGCCTCTAATAAAGTAGATGCATCCGCGGGATGAACATGTCGTATGGCGTATTCACTTGCCTGTAGAAATTCTTGCACGCGATCTCGCGAGGTGCCGTCCATCTCGGGGATCATATTACGCGCTTCTTTTAATGTTAGAAAGTGAAGTGATCCTCCGGATTCGCGAGGTGGTTGCATTAACGAATAATCCGTAAGTCGGTCGGAATTTCGCGAAGTTCTGTTGCGATCGGGAGTGGTTGTTTCGCTTCGATTTTGCGTTATATGTACGCGTAATTCTTGTAGCGTATGTAACATCTCTAATAACAGAGGATTCTCGGCAGGCTGGAAGGTTACTCTTCGGTCATGCCTAGTTTCGGTTTCGTCGCGGTTTCGCGTATCTATTGAGTCTTGCGTGTCGTCTTCGTCTTCGGAGTGGTCTGTTTGGAAGGTCACTCTTCTTCCGCGCCTATTCTCCGGTGTTCCGCGATTTTGCGGGTTGCTTATATTTTGGGCGTTATCTTCGCCTGGCGTTAATAAACGTTCAGGGGTGTGATCCCTGGGTGGAGTACGCGTCGTCATGTCACGGCTGTTTTGAGTAGTCTCGTCTGTGTCAATTATATTTTTGTCGCGTGTTATCGCGTCTTGTTTTATCAAGTTAAAATCGTCTAGATCTAACTGAAATTCGCGGTCGGTTATCACGTGAGGGGATAAGTTTACGTCGTTTTCGATCGACGGGTTTAAATTATCGCGTGCGTTATTTGTTACATTCAACGGCGGTTCGCTATTCGCTCGCTCGGCGGTGTCTATCGTTAATCTATGATTACACGGGTCGGTATCCTGTGTGTCTCTCGTTTCAGACATACACAGTCTTATCGCATAACATGTGTACGACTTACATTAGTAGAATCGCTCGCGTCATTGTTGCGCTGATCGGCTCGCTCAGCTATTCGGATGTTGAAGTTCTGCGAAGTCCTTTCCACCGCAGTCCGTGTTGGCTGTCGATGTTGCGCTATTTCCTGGTTGACACCGTCTCGATGCAAGGTCGTTGGTGGTTGGTTCTCGTACGCCTCGGGTCCTGGCAGCCTTCCTTGGTACCTTGGTAGCTCCGGGCGTCGGCCTCTGCGTGGCGTTGTCGACTCACTTTTAAATTTTATTGCTAGACTAATAACTAGTCTTAGCTACGGCATGCACTCGCCGTGTATTTTTACGTATCTTCTCTTGAGTTGAGAGATCGTAATTCGGAGATGTACTTTCTCTCCGGCCCGTTACCACTGCGCGGTTTGCACGGGTCTTTTCTCGTCTCCTCTAGCGGCTAAGATCGTCGGGTTCTCTAAGATTCTCCCTCAGATTCTTCGGTGATATCTCACCAGATAATCCCACCGCTGCCACCAATTTTGTTGTACCTCTCGGTGCAACAAGATAATAATTTGGGATTCGATCCGCTTAAAGGGTTGGAACCCACGAGGATAACGGGGACATTGTAAAAGGGTCGTCGAACAAACACTCACATCACCACACTTTCATTAGAAATAACCCCTTTTTATTTAACAATTTTAATATTTGATTACAAATGTTGCACCCTTTATTAATATGATTATTTATTATAATAGGTTACAATTAACTTGAGTGATCGTAACTTTTATTTAATCAATGAAGTTGATTAATTAAATGAATATACTTTAAGGTATCGCTCGTGACTTAATTATTAGACCGGTCGGCGACGAACGTTATCGCGGATGGTATTTGACTCGGTTCTCGTGACGCGCGTAACGTACCGTTACGGTTAGATTTTAAGACAAGACTCTGCGCTCGGCATTTAGGCGGTCGCTTATATTGAGTTTGATGATGTCGCTTTTGGTCTTCGATCGGACCATATATGGTAATATTCGTCGCGCTAGAGGCGCGATCGCGTGATTAAAGAATGTGCAATCTTGCACTTCCGCTGTTGGTTGCCATGCCGAGTGCATTTAGGTATTTCGCGCGCTACGATCTTAGATCGATGCTTTGTCGCGCGCGGTTTAAAGAATGTGCAGACTTGCATTTCCGGTGCCGATTACTATGCCGGTTGAATGAAATAATTGATAAAATAAGTGATAGCCATTCGGGCTATAACACTATCTTCGGTATTATTAATTCCTGACATTTCTTCCAAACTTTCGTCAGTACTCTCACCGCTGTCTCCACTATCTTCTTCTATTTCGGCAAATGCAGCTGCATATTCAGCAGCGCTTTGTATATCGATGAAAGTATCGCATGTTTCGTCGTATTCTGTGTTCTGAAAAACACATATCGCTTGCATGGCGTTTTTACCTAAAATGGCCCATCTTAGCCGATTTTGGCACTCAACGGGCGAAAGATGACTATGTAATGCCCCCATAGCTCGTAATGCGGCAAAAAAATTCTCCAGGATGTCCTGGCATAGGCGCCATGTCAGGATGTATGTAGGTTTAGTGGTTTCGTTGCCGTACTTCTCCTTTACGTATACCAGTAGGTCTTGTAGTGAGTCATTCGACAATAGTATACCCTTTTGGAAGGGTAATAAGTGTGTCTTTGGTTTCCTGGTTTTTTTTATCGAACACTCGCATAGTCTTGACCATGTTCGTCATTTTATCCAAAATAATATTCTGGTTTTCGACATCTAATCCATACGCACAAGTGCCACTACGTGTATCGAATTTCATTTTGGAGTTTTGAATGTCAAACCAGTCGTTAATTGTAGTGAACATTTCAGACGCAGCTTTCCAATGTTTATTTTTCAGCATGCCTGCCCTACCGGAAAATTGAATGGCTTTCGCGTTCGTTTTTGAGAATACTTGGGCCGCGAGCCCAACTCTTTGTCGCTGGAAACCCCGAGCATCAATGTGATTTTGAGTCAATTTATATGCAATTTTTGCATCTTTCACATTAATTTGAAGAAGTTCTTCAAGGATCGACATGTCAACGATATTGCCATCAATCACAAAACCGGAATCAATGAAGTTATTTCTGATCAATTTAATGAGATGTGGCACATCTGCAAACACAAAAACTTTGTCATCGGACATATTAGAGTGGACGAAGAAGTTGCGTTTCACCTTGGGTTGTTTATTGCGAACGTTTTCAGTCTCAACTTCAATACTTAAGTCATTCCATAAGCTAACATTTGTTCCACCCATGTCGTTAGTTGCTGCAATTACTGTGTATCCACTTTTCTTCAATGCCAGTATTATATCCAAGAGAATGGTTTTCTTCATTGGTTGGTCGAACATATAGTATACTGGCATCTTCCACCCACCAAACAACCCACGAGCCATAACGAACTGACACGTATCGTGAGAACTGTATACTTTCTGCTCCCTCTTCTCGATTTCCATTTTGTTCGATATGTAAATCTCGTCATATGTCAGAACCGTTAATTTGTCAATATCAGTCATGCTGTCTTTTTTCGTTGCCATAAGTTTTAAGACATCCTCCAGTAACTCAGGCTTCACTTGAAACTTCGCCATCCAGTACCGCAAAGTCGACTCAGCTGGCAACGGATATTTTGCGACATCCCGTAAATACCGGTATGCTTTTCCGCTTTTTGATCTCAGCGTGATAGCCGCAGCTATATCGGTGGAAGACCAATGACTTTTTGTCTTGGACGGGTCGAGCAGTCTCTTTATTTGACCTACCGTAAAAATTTTTTGTAATTCTGTCATGGCTTCTTTTAATTTCTCATATTCCGACCGAAGATCTTGAAATTCCTTCTGCAATGTCTTATATTTGTATTTGTCTTTTGTTTTTTGGAGTTCCATCTTTTTCAGCAGGTCGGCGTTTTCTTTTTTAATTTGTTAGAAGGATTCCAATTTACGAAGTAGTTCTGCATTTTCTTCTTTAAGTTTCGTGAACTGATCTCCTGTTATTGCTGAGTTAGGTATTATACCGTCTTCGCGTTCGCTATTTTCCAGTGCAACCCTGCAATCGCATATATTTTCTTCATTACGTCTGTCATTTGTGTACTACAAGTACATTATTCAAGAATATCAACATTAGATGGGCGATTCTCAAGATATATCAGAATTTGACGAGTAAAAAAATTAAAAATGGAAATGAATTTTTAAGAGTGTTGTAATTTCTTTCTCTACTCTTTTGGCATCAGCTGTTTTCAGTATGAGAAGTAATGAATATTCATTTTTATCAAAAATATGTAACTATTTATAAAAATGTATGCTACGGAAGGGTCATTGTCCCTTCCGTGGCATACATTTTTATAAATATTTAATAACTTTGATAAAAATAAATATATATTACTTTTCATAGTGTAAACATCCTTCTTTACGTGATCTGCCAAAAAGCTGAAGCCAAAAGAGTAGGAAAAGAAATTATAACCCTCTTAAAAATTCATTTCCATTTTTAATTTTTTTACTCGTCAAATTCCGACATATGTTGACAATCGACCGTATGCATTGATTACAGTTGTTATTATACACGTGTGTAAAATAAGAACCATTCTATATCGGAAGGAGAAAATGAAAACAAACACTAGTAACTTATGTAAACAGTTTTGAAATGGACAGAAATTGCAGTTATATCATTCAAGCTATGTTCATGAAGCTGAAGCTAGCTCCCGTATTCCAGCCCCTACCTTTCACATGATCTGAAGCACAGGGTGTGTAGTAAAGTGGCCCAACAAAATTCCCTACTTTTTCCCGGAATTATCCCACAATTTGAAATCAATTCTCGGAATTTGTCACACAGATTTTTGTATATATTTTTAATGATCAAATAAAAATGGATATATAATACAATAATAAACTGTTTTTCCACAATTTAATTGCAAAATTTATGTTGTAATTTCCTTTATAAACTTTATGAATAATTTCAAAAATGTGTTCCTTGTCAATAACATTGTCTTTTTCGGTTACTAGAACATTACAAGCGCGCGCTTCGCGCGCGCCATTGAAATTTTCGTAAAACAGAAGATACAACACAACGAAATAATATACAATGAAATTAATACAATGAAATTAAAGAAAAAATAGTAAATTTATTTAATATTATAATATTAATATTTTAAATTTAATAATATTATAAATTTAATATAAGTCATGATCTAATAAGGATGATAACAATTAACAACTGTAGCAAATAACACATATCTAATATAATACATGGCACATTTTATGTTATATGTGTCTTTTATTTTGAGTCTGTAATAAAAATATTGTACTTATTTATAGCATTATATTATCACTCGATTCTAGTTTTGATATTGTTCTTACTTTATCCATTTAAATAGAATCGAAAAATAAATTTGACTGTATTCCAAGTGTATTTCTACCATATGAAGTTAAAAAAATAACAACGAAGAATATTACTACATCGATCCACCATCAGAAGTCTATAGATATTCGCAAATTCTCGCAAGTCCTTTGATACGCGTATACTCTTTATATAGAATCTCAACTAAATAACTCTCTCAGGCGTATAAGGTAGGCTTCCATTACAATACCTTACTGATGAATCCAGTAGTGAAAAAACTGGGACGAAACGTCAACATTACGTGATAATCTTCGCAATATATTAGAATAAAATTAAAGATTTTAACGAATTTATGGCTCGTAGCCCTGTTCTCTTATTAGTTTTAAATAACAACATAAATATATAAAAACAACATAAATATATATATATATATATAAACAATTGTAAATTTTACTCTAGAATGCAACTTGTTTTTCCTAAATTAAAATATTTTGAAACACTTTTTTTTTTTAAACGGATACACGACGGATATGTAACAGATTATGTGCACAGATAATGTTAAATAAATTTGAAAAATTAACTTTGAAAAAAATTTTAATTTAATTAATAAATGTGCTTTGCGTACGTTATTTGTTCAATGATCCCGTACATTTTTAATGATTTCTTTATGTAAAATCATATACAAATATATCAAAATATATTTTTTCTTAAAAATTTAAAAGAAAAGAAATCATACATATACTTCTTTATAGACGTAATTTTTAACTTGTTTTTTATCGCGCTGGCTACCAAGATAAACTTTTAATGCTTCCCAAGAACGTATTCGTGAAAAGGCAACATAAAGTTGCCCATGATTAAAAACATCTTTGCGAAGATCAATTCCTACTCTGTCAAATGTCTGTCCTTGTGATTTGTTAATTGTCATAGCAAAAGCTAATTTTATTGGAAATTGTCTTCTTTTAAAAGTAAAAGGATATACATTTTCACAATACAGCGTTATACGATTCAAAAAAACAATATCTCCTACTTTATCACCTGTTAAGATTTTGCATTTTAATAAATGGTCGCCAAGTGCTATAATCATTAATCTAGTACCATTACAAAGACCTTCATTGATACTAAGATTTCTAATCAACATAATGACACAATTTGGTCTTAAACGCAATTCATAAGGTGGAAGAGATGACGGTGATAAAGTATTTAAATATTCTGGTAGTAAAGCTTCACCAATGTCACCATTATCACCACAGTTTTCAGTACTATCTGTACTTGTATAAATTCGTTCTTCAAACGTTTCTAATAATTCGACAACACGTTTATTAATTTCATCTACATCAGCATTTCGTGCGGAAAGTATTGCACACTTTGCTATTTTATTGAATTCTTTATTTTTTATCAAATCACCATATATATCTTGTACAATATCAGCATTAATGGGTGCGATACAACAATTTGGAAGTTGTATATTATCGTTAGAATCATTTAATACGCCATCTCCCATATCCAATAGAAACTTTGCAAATTCAGTTTCCTCTGGAAGAACTCGCATATTTTCTGTTAAAGAGAAATTTATAAAATGTTTCCAAGTAGAACTAAACTTGATTGAAAGATTTACGATTTCATTTCGAGTACCATGTATTTTAATAGGGAGTAGTTGTCTGAAATCACCACCTAACACGACAATTTTTCCACCAAAAGGTAAATCATTATTCATGATATCACGCAATGTTCGATCCATTATTTCTAGAGCATATCGTGGTGCCATTGGCGCTTCATCCCAAATAAAAATATCGGTTTCTTTCAAATACTTTGCTTCCTTGGATTGGATTTTAATCCTAGATGATGAATCAGCAAATAATGGAACTGGCAATCCAAATGTTTTATGAACTGTTTTTCCTGCTGGCAATAATGTCGCTGCAATGCCCGTAAAAGCCATTGTACATATATGTTTATTTCGAATTTTGGCTAAATAATAGATAGTAGTGTATATAAACGTTTTACCTGAACCACCAGGACCATCGATATAAATACAATTACTATTGTGATTATTAGTATCTAGTCTGTTTAATACAAGATCTACTATTTCTTTCTGCTTATCATTTAATTGTTCATATTGTCTGGTACCAATTTCTATAGTTTCTTCAAGTGTTCTATAATCATCCTCTTCTTCGTTTTCTATCAATTGTTCCATTTGTGGAAAATCGGCAAAACTTTTACCTTCAGCACTAAGCATAATATTAATTTGCGTATATGCTTTCCTTTGTCCTTGTAACAATCCAAAGTGTCGAACATAATCTTCTGACATTGTTACTTTAAAATTTTCCCAGAGTTCTTCAGGATGTAAAGGTTGACAGTGTAATAATATACGTACAAATAATCTACGAAGTTGTCGAGGCATCATCCATCCAACAGCTTCATTCATAGCTCGTTTCCATTCATCATCATCTTCAATTAAACCTAAAGCTAGACATGCTGCTGAAAATGATTGACATATTTCTCCATTTATAGTTCTTAAATCATTAAAACTTGTAGCTCCTCTTATAGTCAGTAATAATAGTCGTAAATGAAACAATTCTGTTTGTGTTGGACTAACGGAATACATTCGTCCTATACAATTATAATGACTTTTGCGTTTGACCCAACATGATACATTTCTTCCATTAATTTTCTCTTTCTTAAACGTATAATAGCGTGGAATTTCTACATATAAATATTGTCTTGCTTCTTCATCGCGTGAATTTAAGGAGAAATAATCAATTAACATTGTAACTTGATTTAAAGCGTTAATCATTGCTTCTTCAATAACTTCATTTTCAATTATAACATTTTGTTCGTTCGGAAGATGGACTGGCAAACGTACTATAGTATGACTTTTATCTTGTAATTTTTTTTCGAGAATACGCCAACAGGCTTCTACAGGTCCAACATATCGAGTTTCTATAAAATTTCGTATTTCATCATGATCAATAATTATATTATCTGTTATTGGCTCAATTGTTATAGCAGCGGCATCGTGTCCCTTATAAATATACTTATACAGATATTTAACTGATTTGATACTTGAAACTATCTCAACATTTATGTGACAATTAAAAATAATCGATAAAATAGGACAATACGGAACTACATAACGATTGTCAACTATATATCCACCAGGACGTTCAAAACTCTTGCCATTATTTCGCCGACGATAGTAAGGATAAGCATCTTCATCCATTTTAGTCTCTTCAAGATATGATTTAGGATAATGTTTCGAACATTTTCCATCTATCAAACACCAATTTCCACAAGGTCCATGAATCATGTTTCTCATAACTATGTCATGTAAAATATGATTTTTACATGGATCAGGAATTTCAGCAGAAATATATTTGTCAACAATCTGTGGAGTTGTTATTTTAAAATTGTATTTTAAAGTAACTAATATGTGAACATGTGGTAAACCGCGTTTTTGAAATTCAATAACATATACAAATGCAGCTACTTCTCCAAAAAACTTTTGCTTTACAATTAAATCAATTAAATAATCCTTTTTAATATTAAAAACACGTGCACAAATATCAGGTCTATCAGAAGCTTGTTGTCCTTGTAAAAGATTTTCTTCGATTTCGCGCCATTTTGGATTGCAAGTCATTGTAATGAAAAGATCTGGTTTACCAAATTTATTAACAATTGCCATTGAATCTTGATAATTTTGTAACATATTACGAGGTGATCCAATAAATGAGGATGGAAGTATAACCATCTTTCCAATACGTCCATTTAAATTATTTGCCATATTAGTTATATAATCTCTTAAACCTTGATATGTTTCAGTACGCAATTCTTTTTGATGATCTTTACAATAATTTATTCTATCTTTTTCAATTTTTACATAATTGTCTACAAGCCATTGTTGAAATAAACGACGACCTAATAAAAACACGTTAAATTCATCGCGAATAGCCATGCGATATTTAATATACTGGCCTCTAGTTATTCGTTTATTACTATTTAATTTTGTTAAATTGCAATGCCATCCTTGAGTGCCATATGGATAAAATAAGGGATATATCCATGGTTCAACATTTGGATCCATAGTACTAACATTTTGTAAAATTTTGGTACTTTTATTACGTATTGTTACATATGATTCTGGAATTTCTCCATCAGCAGTAGTACAAAAAACAGCTGCTACTTCATTAGTTCTTTGAGCATTATATCGACGTTGATCCATACCTGGTCTTAATGTAAATAATAATTGTAATTCTGGCAATAATTCTCCAGATTCTATTTCTAATCGTTGTTGATTTTCTAATTCTTCTCCCATCATTTGATAAGATTGAGCAAATATATTCAATTCTCGCATTATACGTTCAAGATTTTGTATAATTTCTAAATCTAACTTTGAATTTTCAATAAGACGATAATTTATTGCTTCATTAGAATCTATAATAAAAAGCTGCCCATAAGTCGGATTTTCATTTTGTGCAGCATATAATGCTGTATTTATTTGATAATAAATTTGTCCTTGTATTTTAAAGCAATAGGGACTTGGCCGCCTATTTTGAAAATTAACTAAATTAGCATTAAATGATGCAAATGAAAAAGAGCTATTATAACTACGAATATTCTGAAAAAAATTATTGGATTTTGCATGACTACAATCGAATAAACTACGAAGAAATTGTGGAAATTGAGGTAATGATTCCAAATAAACCGCACCATGATTACAACAATCGTGAAATGAATTTCCTTTATTAGATACTTTTTCAGCTGCAAAATGTCTTGCGTTACAATGAACACAAGACACATTCATGGGACCAATGTAATATTCAACTATTTCATTAATTAAGGTACTACTAATATTTGTACTATTAATATTTAAATGTGGTTGTTGCTTTTTCCGTGATCGATATCGAAATTGATATTCTGCACGTTGTTGATCTAATGCTACAGTATTTACAGAATTTTCTCCAACTACATTATTTGATTCTATACGGTTATTATTATGTATGGTACCAGTAATGCAAACACTATAATTTGTTTGATTAATTGTATTTGGTAAAATGACATTAGTAATTGTTGTTTTTGCAATTTGACGACGACGACGTTGATTTTCTGCATTTCTATCAAGACGTTGCTGTCGAAATTGTTCTTCTTCTTCTAAAGTGCGATTTATTTTACGTCTCGGCATTTTATAAATTAAATATAAAAATATCTTTTTTTTAACGAAAAATATATAATCAATAATAACCAATAACTAATAATTAATTAATTATGAAAAATTAATCAATATTTATTAATGAATAAACAAATAATAACCGCAATGACTAATGAATATCTTATTTATTTGTCTTATTTACAAAAAGACTATTTTTAATTTATAATTTATATTTGAAAATTTGTTTTTCTAAGTTTTTATATTTAATACGTTTTTCTAATTAAAACTAAATAAATATATTAATTTCTCAATATCAAATATAAATTAATAATCAATAATTAATAACCACAATAGTCAATATTTAATAATAGTCAATATTTAATAATAAATCAATAATTAGTAATTAATGATCAGTAATTTTTTATTATCAATAAACAATAATCAATAACAAAAATTCAAACAATATTAAAAAATTAGTAGTTAATAATTAATAATCAGAAATTAACAAACAATAATTAATATCGAATAACTAATAATAAATAATCAATATACAATTAATAACCATTAATCAATAAACAATAACCAATATTTAATGACCAATAAACAATAATATAAAATCATACAGTATTCAATGATTAATAATTAAACATTAACCTAAAATCAGTAATTAATGATTGATATATAACCAATAATCAATAACGACAATCAATAATCAATATCTGAAAACCAATTAATCAATAATCAGTCAATATTTATCAAATATTAGTCAATATTACAATCAACCAATAACAAATAATCAATAATTAATAATCATATTAGTATTATATTCAATATTATCAATATTATCGATATCATAAGCAATATCATTATTATAATCAACAATGTAATCTATAATCATTAATTATTAATCAATGTTATCACTATCATTATCATCATTATTATTATCGTTATCATTATTGTCATCGTTATCATCAATATCGGCAACAACAGTATTCTTATTATGTCAAAGATATGAATGTTTTTTTTTTTATTTTATTTTAATGATTTTATTTTTTTTTATTACAAATTATTATAATATTAAAATATATATATTATAAATCAAGAATAATTTAAATGTAATAGCTAATATATTATTTTAAAGTTAATATAATATTTTGTAACAAAAAATTATATAACTTATAACAACATATAATAATTATAGTCTAAAATAATTTTTATAATAATAACATTAACGCAAACTATAATTAGAAAAAGTAATTTAAAATAATTTTAATTAATTTTTTCTTGAAACAAGCTTCATTTAACGTCTTCTTGATTTTTTTTCTGAAACAAACAATAATAATAAAAATATTATATATATTATATAAAAAATATATTACCTTTATCTATACAACTATCTATACTTTATCTATACTTTATCTTTATTCTTTTTTCTTTATCTATACTTTATTTTTATAACTTAATACAATAGATTCGGTTGAATAAATCCAAGAAAATTGAAAAATGTCAATCGAGTTAGTACATTGGTTCTTCGTGTGATTTGAATAAAGCTTTATTGTATCTTGATAATAACAACGTTTTGATCCAGATTCTGATCCTTTTCAAGTTTCAAAGTTCATGTATCAAGCATAAGATTTCGATTGGAATAACATTAAAATACTTGATGAGGAAATAATTTTAAATAAAAGACTCATGTCAGAAATGATTTACATACACAAAAAAAACAATAGTTTAAATTTGCAAACGGATACAGAATTGTTAGATAAAGCATATGAATGCTTATTTATAGAATAATATCTTTTTCTCTCTCTGCAATGATCTTTTACTTTGTTTTCGCATATGACAATGTCAACTGATGTATTAATCTTTGTTATTACAAGTAGTTTAACTCTTGACATGACAACTTGTATTTTATTTGCTATGATTGTTACATGTAAATAATTTATTTTATATGTAATATATTAATGTTTAGAATTATTATTTATTTATTTTTAATGTACAGTGTTCTAGGGAGCACAATGCTAACATGTTTAATTTAGTACATGAACTTTGAGACTTGAAAAGGATCCGAATCTGGATCGAAACGTTGTTATTATCAAGATACAATAAAGCTTTTTTCAAATCACACGAACAACCAGTGTATTAACTCGATCGGCATTTTTTAATTTTTTTTTGGATTTACTATATAAACTGTTCTATATTACTATATTACTGTTCATAAGTTCAGAAATACTTATGATATTCTCACATTTCATGAAAAGTTAAATTTTATAAAGTTAAATTTTTTTTACTTTAAATTTTACTTCAAGTTTATCTATGTAGATATAAGATATTTTGATTCTAAATTTAATTTTAAAATAATAAGCTCTTGTAAGCTTTTATAATAAGCTCTTTTATAATAATGAGCTCTTTTTTATCAAACTCAATTTTATGAAATATATAAAACAAAGTAAACAAACGAAATTAAAAAACAAATTTGAAATATTTTTTACGACTTATTTTATGGAAATACTTAATTTTTTATAAGATACAAAAAGCTTTCAAACTTATAAACGGTAATCTATACATACACACACACTCGTGCGCGCGCACACACAGCAGACGGTCGCACATAGATATATATACATATCCTGTGTGTGAAATTGATGTATCACTTCGTTGAAAATTATTCAATTTTGAGAATTTTGGCTTTATTTTACAATAGTTCTACAGTTCTTAATAGTTCAAACAAATAGTTTCTGTCATTAAAAAGCAAAACAACAGCTTACAATTAGTACAAACTGAAACGCCAAGTTTACACAGCATCACACTTTGTTCTACGAAAGTTTTCGTCAAGATCTTACAGAATCTTAAAAAATATACAGTTCTACATAAGTTCTAAAAAAAGTTCTGACAGTAAATATTTTTTTTTAATTTTTAAACAATTTTTATTTTATTGTTTTTATAGGAAACACAGATGAGTCTGAATTTTTTCTAGAAAAAATCATGTAGAAAATATATTTTCCTCACGCGTGCACGTAATGTGCCCTATACTGCAACGCTTTTGCGTGCGGTAAATAGCCAATATCTGAAGCCTTTGAGTTATTTCTCTAATCCCACGTAAAAGCGTTGCGTTATGAAAAATAACGCAATGCAGTGGTAGTGCTCGTACAAATAATAATACGGAGAAACGCGCCGACTGGAGTGTCCTTTCGGGGCATCTGAGGGGGGGGGGTAAGCATAGTTTTCTTCAATAATAAAAGTAACTATTGACAAAACGACAACACAGTATGTAAGTGTCCTTCAACTTATAATAACGTTCAGATGAAATCAGTAAGTATATATCAGAAAGCAAAAACAAAGCAAATATTTTACGAAAAATATTTTCTATATAATCAAAAATTAATTTTCAGTGGCTAATGTAGAAAAAGTGCATCATGAACGTACTGTTGTAGAAATGAATGTCATTCGGGAGACTTCAAAATCTGTGTCAAAAAATGTTAGTGAAGAATTTCTACTTCCGGACGTTTTAAAAAGAGCAAAGAACCTGCGAAGTCTGAAAGAAAATACGAAGCAACTTATGCAAAATTTATGCAGTGGAGATCAAAACAAAATAAATACTTTATCCGAGGCAGCATTTTTAGCTTATTTTTCAGAATGATCCGAAACATAAGTTCCATCGAGTGTATGGACGATATACTCCATGTTACGAAGTACAGTTCAAGCAAAGCATAATATTAAAAATTCAAAAAGTTACGAAGTAAAAAAAGCTAAAATTTTGTCTCCCGAACAATGTTAGCAATTTATTGAAGAAGCTCCCGATGACGAATATTTGACAATAAAAGTAAGTGAAATAATTTTTTTACGAATACTCTGTAGCGAAAACACGCAAGTCATACATTTTGAATTTTCAGGTAACTTTAAAAAAAGGAAAAAAAGGAAAGTGCAGTAAACAAGTGATTGAAATTAACACCATTACAAATTTTCTAAAAATTATCGCTGCTTATTTAAAATTGAATGAACCAAAAAAGTACATAAGCCACACATTTCGAAGAACTTCAGCTACTTTGTTAGCAGATTCAAGCGCGAGTATTCTTGACATTCAACGACAAGGAGGTTGGAAGAGCTCGACAGTCGTAGTAAGTTATGTCGAAGATTCTGTAGGTAATAAAGTAAAAATTGGAAAAATGATCGTTAATGAAATTTACAATGCTCCAATCACTTCAACTGCACATGAAAAAATACATAATACAAAACGAACATTTACTGCAATCGAAAATGAAGTCACAGATTTATCCACTCCATCTAAAATTATTTAAATTATATTATTATGTTCGTTTTGCAAGTCATGTGCTATAATTGTATTATACTCGCTTCGCTCGTGTGCTCCCGCGCCCGCGTCGCACAATAAACAACTTACCACACATATTACATAATGTACTATTTTTTAAATTATACAAAATCTATAACGAAAACTTTTTTCTTCGAACAAAGTGAGTCGCTTTATGAACTTGACGTTTCATTATGTATTAAGCTGCTTTTTGCTTTAAGTGGCCAGAGCTATTTATTTTAACTACCAAGAATTATACAGAACTATTAGAGAACTATCGAGATCTAATGATTTTACACGAAGTGATACGCCAGTTTCACAAATACTATCCTACGTTATATCGCGTTATTCATACATATAAAAATATATAAAATTATATTAAAACATACCTGTATTCTTTAAGTGCACAGTTTAACAGATTTTTCCGAAAGATTAATATCTGGAGATGTGGTAGTGTCTCCGGCTGTGTTCAAAAACTGAAAGACACTACAAGTCTCTTATCTTGAGCCACCAAAGTACATTTTTGGGGCGTTTATAGAATTATACACTATTGTGCTCTGAAAATATAATATCTTTTAAATATTAGATATGTTAAAGTTGTATGTAGTGAGAGCAAAAAAGAAAGGGAGTGAGTGTTTGTGTGTGAGAGAGAGAGAGAGAGAGAGAGAGAGAGAGAGAGAGAGAAAGAGAGAGAGAGAGAGAGAGAGAGAGAGAGAGAGAGAGAGAGAGAGAAGGGTTATATTTGTTATATATTTGTGTATTATGTGCGTACGTGCATATAGGTTTGTATGTGTATACGCGCGTGTGTGCGCGTTTTTATATTAAAACTTACCTTTAAATATTACAGAATTAAAAATTCTGGAGAAACTGTCAAACTGTCAAAATTACAGATTTTTTGTCAGATTTGACAGAACAACTACGTAGAAGTCGAGGGGTGTGTCACTCTCGAGTCAACAGTTTTAATATTAGAAATCATAATATAATCAAGCGAATATTATGATGACATACAAGGAATCATATGAATAACGTTTGAAATCGAGCAATTGAAATTTGCAGTTTAACGAGCGAGTTAATGCAGCGTTATCTGTTTTGAGAGCGAGTCGAGGTGCGAACGGTGCAAATTCGTGCGAGTTGTGCTAGTCGCAGTACGAATATAGAACTTATAATACTGGAACAGGAATGCTAGTGTAGAACTGTGAGCAACATAAAAAGGACAGAAATATCTTTCTATCTCAACCGTTTGTTAATGTTTCATGTGACTCGCTTTTACTCGCTGTGACAATCCGGCAACGGATCGATGATCGCGGACAGCGTCATGCGCAGAGAGTCAATCGATAGATAGGTAGCGCCGCGGATACATCTCATAGCGGCACGCCAATAAGAAATCACGCGGTAACACAAATAATTCAATTCGATTCGACTATCGAACAACGCCGCCCCCCTTGAAAGGGTAGCTTTCAAAGACAACCTGAAACATCGCGTTGCGAAAGAATAGTCAACTTAAAGACAAATAAACAATATCACTTAATGCTAGATTCACAACACTTACTGAACTTAATCTAACTTATTGAATAACATTGTAAACATGAATTATATAAACTTACTTAGCTAGACAAATGAAACATAATGCAAAAAAGGAAATTTACGAGCTATTGCTCGCGTCACAGCTGAGATGTGAGTTCTGCAACTCCAATGGTAGTATGGCAAGTTTAGACAGTGGTCTCACTAAAGAGCCATTGACAGTTTTCACTGTAGCAGTTCGCGCGACATTATCCGCGCCCGGATGAATTTGTTGGATGCGCCCTAACATCCATTGTAAAGGGGCTAAATTTTGCTGTTTTATCAAAACAAGTTGATTAGGTTGTAGCTGAAGGCCTTTATTCGCTCTCCATTTCGTGCGTTCCTGCAGGGAATGAAGGTACTCTGTGCTCCATCTGCGCCAGAAATGTTGTCTAATTTGCTCAACCCGATGCCAACGAATCAGACGATTCTCATTTACATCGCTCACATCTCTGCACGGAAAACTGTTCAGTGGTTCGCCAATTAAAAAATGACCGGGAGTAAGATATTCTAGATCATTAGGATCGGTACTTAATGGTGTAATTGGCCGTGAATTGAGTACTGCTTCGATTTCGCAGAGTGCCGTTTGCAGCTTTTCGAACGTCAAATGCGCCTGTCCCGCAATGCGAGTCAAGTGGTGTTTTGCCGACTTGACGGCGGCTTCCCATAAACCGCTAACGTGTGGCGCGTTTCGAGGAATGAAGCTCCACAAAATAGATTGTTCATGTAAAAATTGTCGTATATCCGAATTCGCTCGCTGACTATGATAGAAATCTTACAATTCTTTGATTTGATTACGAGCGCCTACGAAAGAGGTTCCATTATCTGAGTACATTTTAGAGGGTTTTCCTCTACGCGATATGAATCTTTTAAACGCCGCGATGAAAGCATCGGTTGTTAAGTCGCTGACAAGCTCTATGTGCACGGCTCTTGTTGCAAAACAAACAAAGATGGACACGTAGGCCTTTGAATGTTTCCCGTTTCTTCTTTTGCCTTCTTTGATCGAAACCGGACCGGCGTAGTCAACTCCGCAGTGCGTAAACGGTCTAGACATTGTAACGCGGCCCGCGGGCAAGGAGCCCATAATAGCTTCGGAAAAACGTGGTTTAACCTTGAAGCACGTAATACAGTTTTGGATCACCCTGCGTGTTGCGGAACGCAAAGATAATGACCAAAACTGTTGCCTAACATTTGCCATAGTGGCTTGCAATCCTGCATGTAAATTTCTTTTATGTTCTTGCTCTATAATGAGTTGAGTGAGAATGTGATTACGCGGAATCAATATAGGATGACGCGCGTTGCTTTCTAAATTCGAATTGCCTAATCTACCGCCAACCCGCAGGAGTCCTGATTCGTCAATGAATGGAGTTAGCGATCGTATGTTACTGGTGACGGCGATTGAGTCCTTTCTCTGCAACACTTCGTAATCCTTTGAGAATGACTGTTTCTGTACAGCCTTACATACGATATTTAAAGCATGTGATGCTTCTGTGGGAGATATAAGAATCGATGGATTGCTTGGACGATTTTTCTTCGAAAAACGCAAACAATACGCCACGATTCGTATGATCTTACTAAGACGCGAAAATCTAGCTAACAACTGGTTGATGACGCAACCTTCTGTTAAAGTCGCAATCGAAGACACCATCCTTGATTCTGGCAAATCCTCGTGCGATTGAATAATATCTCCCCTGGGCCATAGGTCATCATCATCTTGTAAGAAAGGCGGTCCGTGCCACCACAAATCATTATCGATTAGTTCCTTGGGATTTAAGCCGCGCAACAGAACATCGGCGGGATTGTTTGAAGACCTGACATGTTGCCAATCTTTGAATTCCGTGAGTCGCTGTATTTCGCCAACTCTATTTGCTACGAAAGGCGTCCACTTCCGCGATGGTGCGCCTATCCAATTAAGTGTAATCATGGAATCTGACCAAAAAAACTTCTTTGCATGCTCCAATTGCACTGGTTCACAAACCTTTGAAATAAGTCTAGCTAACAGCAGCGCTGCGCACAGTTCAAGCCGCGGCAGAGATACCGCCTTAAGCGGCGCAACTCGTGACCTGGAACACAGCAGCTCAATTCGATAGTTATGAGGCCCTACCTTTGTACGAAGATACACGCAAGCGCCATATGCGCGTTGACTCGCATCACTAAAGCCATGTATTTGTACCAACTGCGAATTGGAGTCAAACTTGACCACGCGAGGAATCTGTAACTGATTGAGAACTTCTAATTGTGACCTGAGCGTAATCCAACGCATGTGAATGTCTGGAGGGACAGCTTCGTCCCATTCAATGCCTATCTGCCACAATTCTTGGATAATGAGTTTGGCTAGCACTACGACTGGGCCCAACAACCCTAATGGATCAAATACTCTCGTAACTTCGGATACAATAATACGCTTGGTGAACTTAGAAGCCGGCACGGGCTCACAATGAAAGTGGAAGGTGTCTTTAACCCGATTCCACCGAATGCCAAGAATGCGAGCTTCGATATCATCGTTAATGTTGATTATTTTATTGTTTTGATTGTCTAGGCCTTTCATCAAACCGGGACAATTGGATGCCCATTTGTCTAATTCGAAACCTCCTTCTCGTAATAGCTCAATCATCTCGTCGCGGATGACTTCTGCCTCCTTGATAGTATCTGCTCCCGCAAGCATGTCATCCATGTAAAAGTCACAGATGAGGTGTTTCGATCCTGTTAGATATTTTGAAGAAAATAAATTAGCAAGGTAGATGAGACACCTTGTTGCTAAATATGGCGCTGAGGATGTGCCATACGTAAGGGTAAGCAGCTCGTATGTGCTAACTTGATCTGTAGGATTCTCTCGCCACAGAATTCTTTGCAAACAAGTTTGGGAGGGATGCACTAATATTTGTCTATACATTTTTATAATATCGGCTACGATGGCATATCGAAACATTCGAAACCGCATTAAGATAGATACAAGATCTTGTTGCACGACTGGACCTACCATTAACACGTCGTTGAGAGACAACCCACTGCTGTCCTTGCACGAAGCATCGAATACTACTCGTATTTTTGAAATTTGACCCGTGGTTTTGAATATGCCGTGATGCGGCAAGAAAACGGATAGCGATTCTTCGCTGCTTTGTATGCTTTTTACTGGACGCATGTGCCCCAGCTTCACATATTCATTTATGAATTCGGAATATAAAGCCTTAAATTCCGGTTGACGATCAAAACGCTTCTCTAATCCCCTCAATCGATTCAAAGCGATCTCGCGAGATTCTCCGAGTTTAGTAAGTGAATGATCCCTGACCGGCAATTTAACTACGAACCTACCTTGTTCATTTTGACCAACATTGTTTTGAAAATGTTGCTCGCAAATGCTTTCTTCAATTGTGAATTCACTCTTTTTATCTGTTGAGTCAGTTAGCTGCCAGAACTTGCCTAGTTCCGCATGTAGTTGCTTATTAGAAATAGATGCATGTAACGGTAGCACCTTTGACGAAGACTGGGATATCTTATCTAAACGTCCCGCCATGATCCATCCAAAACGGGTTTTTTGTAATGTGGGGTGCTTTGATGAAGCCTTTATTTGTCCCACGCATAATAGGTCCCAGAATATTTCTGCCCCAATGAGAAGGTCAATCTCGGACGACACGTTGAAGCGAGGATCTGCCAATTTAACATTATGAGGAAAATCGAACTCATTTCGTTTGAGCGAAAATGCCGGAAGCTTCTCCGTTACGTTATCAACCACTAGGCAATTGATAGTGACATTATATGAATTTAGCCGAGAATGCACCTTAATTCTTGCCGCTTGCTTTAACATTGAAACTGTACCGCCGACGCCGGAAATAGATACGTTTTATCACCGCGGATTTATTTTGAGCCTTGATAGAAACCTTGATGAAACGAAATTTGCTTGCGATCCACAATCGAGTAGTGCCCGACACGGGATGAGAGTGCCCTCGCTATCAGGCACGTAAACTAACGCTGTTGACAAGAGTACGTCACTGTTCGCGACCCCATTGGAAGTATGCGTGGTTACCAATGAAGACCCTTCAGTGGACTTTGACTCTTCCGAACTATTTGCCTGCTTATCTCCGCGTTCAGATGACGAACCCTGATGAAGCAACGTGTTATGCTTCCCAGAGCATGCTTTGCAATTTCCAGATGTGCAATTGGTCGCCACATGAGAAACGGACCGTAAACAATTGAAATATTTTTCGAGTACGCACCTCGGCTTGCCTACGCGAAACCGACAGCGCCAGAAATTCTTTGCAATGGTAAATTGAATGTTCGCCTTTACAATAAAGGCAATTGGACTTGACAGTTGCCGCCAATGCCGATTGTTTTTTACTATTGGCCTGTTGCCGTGCGTCGGTGCCCTTCGCGCCGCCGCCACCATGCCCGTCAGTTGCTTCGAGAGTTAAACACTGATGTGTAATAAATTTGAAAAACTGATCTAACGTGGGCCGCTCGGTGCCCGTTAGAGACGCCTGCCATTCTCGTAGAGTAAGCTTGTCAAACTTCGATTTCAAAATGTAAACAAGAAGATCGTCCCAATGAGCGGTCGGACATTTCAGCGCCTGAAGCGCATGCAAGTGTCTAGACGCGGTGTCCGCGATCTTCCGTAATTCTTTAGCACTTTCCTTTGTCATGCGAGGCATTTCAACAAGAGCTTGCACATGATTTTCGACGATCACTCGCTTGTTATCGTATCGTTCGCTTAACAGAGTCCACGCGACTGTATAGTTTCCGTCCGTCATCTCTAAAGCGTTGATAATATTGCTCGCTTCTCCGGTAAGCGACGCTCGTAAATATTGAAATTTCTGTATGTTGCTAAGTGTCGCGTTATTGTGTATCACCGAACTAAAGTTATCGTAAAACGGGAACCACTCTTCGTAGCTGCCCGAAAATGTTGGAAGATTGAGCTTCGGCAAACGAACGCGCGAGACATCGCTGAATGATTCGCGACTGTGCGACGTCGCCGTCGATTGCGCCGCCTCGCGGGAAGCTAATGACGATGAATCTAGTAATTCCTTAATCCTGGCTGATAATTCATAGAACGCGTCTTCGAAATCGGCACGATCATCACTCTCGTTATCGTCAAGTAATTCTAAATGTGACTGAATCTTATTATACTCGACCCACTTATCGTCTAACTTAAGTTTTCGCTCGTGCAGCTGTGCTGCTACTGCGGGCGTAACGACGCGCACCGATTCAACGTACGTTCGTATTCGTGTGCACGAACCTTTAAGAATCGCGCGCTTTTTCTTAAGCCCTGCTACATCTTCGGTGGCCATATTTGAAAATGTGAGAAAAGGAAAACAAATCGCGTATGAAATTTACTGGCGATTACCACTGTACAGTTTTCCTACCTTGTCTAGTATGATGCGCGCGCACGCTAAGATGGCTGGCTGCCCTTGATCCTCAGAATGAAAATGAATGCGACGTCGATTGGCGGCGTCTGCTCGTTTCGATGTTTCACAGCGTCGTTGATATGATTCGACTGTCCCAACGATCTGCGATGGTGTCGTCGAAGTCGTCCGGCCGTCTCACCGGTCTGCGATGTCGTCGGTTCGTCGATGTCGTCCGGCTGTCTGCCGGTTTTCAATGGCGTTGTTGTCCGGCCGTGTCGCCGGCTTGCTGGTGTCGTCGCTACTTGCTTGTTAGTAACAGCGACTGCCCCGATGATTCGAGACACTCTTGTTATCGTCAATGTTATCCGGCCGTGTCGCCGGCTTGCAATAGCGTCGTTGCTACTTGCTTGTTAGTAACAGCGACTGTCCCGATGATTCGAGACACTCTTGTTATGGCGATGAGCCTTGAGACGCTCACAAATACCTTCCGCCTTGACTATGTCCTGATGGACTTCGATGCGTTGATTCTGTGCCGCTTGTCAACCCTCGTGATCATCAAGATCACTGAGATGCCACTTTGCATCCGGCTCGAAGGACCAAATGTACGAAAAATGCTTTCCGTTGAGTGCTGCTGCACACCACACCGTTTCGCGGTACAACTGCTTCGCGAGGCGTAGCCGAAGAATCTCTTATTCTTCTGATTTGAGGGTGAATTAAATACAATATCGTTCACAAGGACACTTTATTGGCGGAATCAAACGCGTAGGCAACAATGCTAGTTGCACGTGGTGATTGGTATGGCGGTTGATCGAGATCTGGTACAATCCGGCAACGGATCGATGATCGCGCACAGCGTCATGCGCAGAGAGTCAATCGATAGATAGGTAGCGCCGCGGATACATCTCATAGCGGCACGCCAATAAGAAATCGCGCGGTAACACAAATAATTTAATTTGATTCGAGTATCGAACACCTACGGAACAAGCAGGGAGCGACAATGGATCTCCATGGATATAGGTTGCGGTAGTAGGCTGGTTAAACCCACCTGCATATATTTACTACTACTACTACTACTACTAAGTATACTGTAGATTTTCAATAGTGACAGTGCATAAATATGTTTTGATTAAAATATTTCGAGCACTTATTAATATACACAATGTCTGATAAAAATCGTTCAATTATGACTGTGTTGATTCAAATAAAGTCTAATGTATGTATGTATAATACATACATATTCCATTGAAATTATATACATTTTAATTACATACTTACATTTTTTTTACATACTTACAATTTATGACTTATTACGGCTTACAGCCTCTTATAAAGTATGGTTTTGGACCCAGCCTAATCTAATTTCAAATTAAACAAGAGGCAACAATAATATTGCTTTTGAACATTTGAACCCAATTCTTATTGGTCGAGATTATGGACTACTGCGCATCCATGATGTTGTTTCACTTTTCTTTTTACATCATGGCGTGAAATAGGATAAACAAAAAAATACTACGAAAGAAAGAAAAAATATTACGGTAAAAAAAAATTTTTTTGTTTTAAATATTACGATAGAATTAATAATTGCGTTTTTATTCATAGGCTAGTATTCATAGTTACTTCTTATATTAAAAATCATAAACCAATCAGAAGATGGTTTTGAAATATGAATAGACTATAAATACCGGTCTTAGTACTATACTAAATCTAATGTCGGTATTTATAATCAAAAATAAAAAAACGTAATTTTAGTCTTAGTTCGATATTTCGTAAATAAATTTATTAATTTTTTTTTATATGAAACGTATTGAACTAATATATTAAACTTTAGTTTTAATTATTAAGAAAATATTTCTAAGAATAGAAAAAAATATATACCGTATATAAATCGACGTTGAACACCTAGAAACTTATTTCCTCAAAAGCGAACACCTAGATACTTTATTCTTCGACGGCGAACACCTAGACACCCACTTCCTCGAAAGCGAACACCTAGATACTTAGTTCCTCGACGACGAACACCTAGACATCTACTTCCTCGACGCCGAACACCTAGATACTTAGTTTCTCGACGACGAACACCTAGACATCCACTTCCTCAACGGCGAACACCTAGACATTCATTTCCTCGACAGCGAACACCTAGACACTAAGTTCTTGACGAGGAATATCTAGACACCCATTTCTTCAACGGCGAACACCTAGACATCCATTTCCTCGACGACGAACACCTAAACATTCACTTTCTCAAAAGCAAACACCTAGACATTTAGTCATTCGACAACGAATATCTAGACACCCACTTTCTCAACGGCGAACACCTAGACACATATTTTCTCAACGACAAACACCTAGACAGAGTAGACAGTTACTTCCTCGAAAACAAACACTTAGACATCCATTATATAAAAATAAAAATATACAAAAAAAATAAAATACGTAATGTATATTATGTACTATTACAAAATAAATGTAAAATTAATTTCTTTAACAAAACAAAAAATTTTGGCTTAAAAATGTTTTATTTTTATACAATTTATGTCATTTCGTGTGTGATAAGCTTAATGTTATTTACTATGAAGTAAATGTACAATAGAAAATCAATTACACATTCATTTTATTAGTTGCAAATATAAATGACAGATTTCGTGTAAAGAAGTCGCAAACAGTCAATTAATATTTACACAACGTAACACGTAACACTTTGTAATATCAGGTATGCTAGATTTTATCTGTATTTCATATATATTATATAAAATATATGCTTTTTTCAATTTTTCTTTTAATTTAACTTTTTTTTTATTCGTTATTTATTTTTATCATTTTCCTCTCTAATCTTTTCCTCTAATTTAGCTATTCCTTTTTTTCCTTCTTTACTTATTCTCAATATGTTTTCATTTTTTAATTTTTATTATTAACGTTAATTTGATGATTTTGACATCGAGTCGTCATTATCATTAATGATGACGATAATAATGATGATGATATTTATTATATTATTTATATTATTAATTTTTTATGTGTCTTTTTTATGTGCCTGATTGCACCAACGTGATTTCGATTTTAAGCAAAACTTAAACTGTCTCTGTCTCTGTTTCTCTTTCAGCTTTAAAACGAGATAGATAGAGTTTTAAGTCTCGCTTAAAATCAAAAAGTGTTGGTGCAACCGGGCCTAAATACACATGAATATATTACAGATGTTTTTAATTTATATTACAGATCATTTCAAAATGTCTGATTCTGACATTTCTTTAGAAGACAATATTAAAGATATTCGGGACGAAATAGAAAAAATAAACTCTATGGAACTACTGTCTTCCAATGAAATATTTGATGACATCAAAATAAATGATTCTTCCGTGTAAATATATTTTAAATTTAAACAAATTTAGAAGTAATAGTAATTTATAAGTTAATTCTATAAATTAAACAATATTTTATTATTTTTAATCTTCTTATAGTGAAATAGTAGGATATGTTGACGGAATCGAAATACCTAAAACCGTTGGAAGTAAACAACAATATAAAGTATTTAAATTTTATTTAAATAATGGATCTGGGAGAAAAGTACAAGTTTTAGCTTGGAATAACGATATTGACAGAATTTTACATCACATTATGCTATACCATGTAAAAAATTATTTTTCAATAATAATAATAAAATTAATCAATAACAACAATAACAATAATTAACAATAACAATAATAATTTGTATTAAACAATAACAATAATAATAACAATAACAATAACAACAACAATAATAATAATAATAATTAAAAATAACAATAATAATAATTTGTATTGTTCTTATAATAATATAATATGTAATAATTATTTTTCAATATAAATCGATTTTTAATAATAACAGAAATATAATATGAATTCTTTATGTTGTATGTAAAATATATTTAATTTATTTAAATTATATTTTAAAAATTTATATTTTATATTTTTATTTATATTATACT